CATGCCACAGCATCTCAATCGGATTCAGGTCGGGACTTTGACTAGGCCACTCCAAAGTCTTCATTTTGTTTTTCTTAAGCCATTCAGAGGTGGACTTGCTGGTGTGTTTTGGATCATTGTCCTGCTGCAGAACCCAAGTGGCTTTTCGCCATTTGTGGATAATGGCTCTCACTGTGGTTCGCTGGAGTCCCAAAGCTTTAGAAATGGCTTTGTAACCTTTTCCAGACTGATAGATCTCAATTACTTTGTTTCTCATTTGTTCCTGAATTTCTTTGGATCGCAGCATGATGTCTAGCTTTTGAGGATCTTTTGGTCTACCTCACTTTGTCAGGCAGGTCCTGTTTAAGTGATTTCTTGATTGAGAACAGGTGTGGCAGTAATCAGGCCTGGGTGTGGCTAGAGAAATTGAACTCAGCTTTCCAAAGATGTGATAAACCACAGTTAATTTTTTTTTTAACAAGGGGGGGCAATCACTTTTTCACACAGGGCCATGTAGGTTTTGATTTTTTTTTTTCCCTTAATAATAAAAACCTTCATTTAAAAACTGCATTTTGTGTTTACTTGTTATCTTTGTCTAATATTTAAATTTGTTTGATGATCTGAAACATTTAAGTGTGACAAACATGCAAAAAAATAAGAAATCAGGAAGGGGGCAAACACTTTTTCACACAACTGTATGTCCGCGGAGTGGATGACAGTTTTGACGTGATGGAGGAGTTGCTCACAGTGATTCCAATGCATGGCCAGACCACTGCTCAGGAGATATTCAGCCAGCTGTGTGATGCCATTGTGGATGCCGGTTTAACATGGAAGAGGTTTGCTGGAATAACAACCGACGGAGCACCATCAATGACAGGGAGGAAAAATGGACTGGTGGCACTTGTTCAAAGAAAACTGGAAGAGGAGGGTGTGGAGGAGGCCATTGCTCTGCACTGCATTATCCATCAGCAGGCCCTTTGCAGCAAATGCCTGAAGTTTGACAATGTGATGTCTGTTGTTGTGAAATGCATCAACCATATTAGATTCAGGGGCTTAAAGCACCGGCAGTTCCGCGCCTTTTTGGAGGAAATAGAGTCAGCATATGAGGATGTCCTCTACTTCACCGAGGTACGTTGGCTCAGCAGGGGAAACGCCTTGAAGAGGTTCTTTGAGTTGAGAGCAGAAGTGAAAGCCTTCATGGAGAAGGATGGGATGGCTGTTCCTGTGCTAAGTGATCCCAAATGGCTCATGGACTTAGCTTTTCTTGTTGATATCACACAGGAGCTGAATGTACTGAACAAGAAGTTACAAGGCCAAGGGCAGCTTGTCAGTGCTGCCTATGACAACGTCAGAGCATTCTCCACACAACTTGTGTTATGGAAAGCCCAGCTCTCTCAGACAAACTTCTGCCATTTCCCAACATGCAAGGCACTCATGGGTGCAGGCACACCATTCAGTGGTGAGAAGTATGCTGATGCCATTGTAAACCTACAGGAGGAATTTGATCAGAGGTTTGCAGACTTCAAGACACACAGAGCCACTTTTCAAATTGTTGCTGACCCCTTCTCCTTTGATGTGCAAGATGCCCCTCCTGTGCTTCAAATGGAGCTCATTGACCTGCAGTGCAATTCTGAACTCAAAGCCAAGTTCAGGGAGGTGAGTGGAATAGCAGACAAGCTTGGACAATTTTTGAGAGAATTGCCCCCCCACCTTCCCAGGATGTTCAAGCGGACCATGTGCCTTTTTGGGAGCACATATCTGTGTGAAAAGCTCTTCTCAACCATGAACTTTAATAAGTCAAAGTACAGGTCCAAACTTACTGATGAGCATCTTCAAGCCATACTGAGGGTCTCAACTGCTTCCTTCCTCAAGCCAAATGTGGCTGAGCTGTGTGAGAGGAAGCGCTGCCAGGTCTCTGGTAGCAAGGAGTAAGCAAGAGAAGCCTATGTTCTGAAGAACCGTTCATGTTCTGAACTGTTATTAATGAAGATTGGATCAGTTGTACTTTTTTTTGGAATACTTGATACCCAGACTCTACCCCCAGCGGCCCCCAGGTAAGTTGAGTTTGAGACCCTAGCTTTGTTACTTGGATGGATGTTAAATTGAATGTTTCTGGCATGATTATGGGAAAGCTCCACTTAGTGAGATTTGAGACGGATGGATATAATATTGATATACTTAATGCTTTGGGGGATTTTGACTTGAATTTTTCTTGCTAATCATTGCTCCATAATACAATAGCTATACCTCAAGTGGACATCAAGACAATAGCATATATTCGCCCCATGAGAAAGTGGCTTAATCTGGTGCTAAATAGTAAAAACTACAATTCTGAAGCCAGGGCTCTAGATAGATATATTAGAATGCATAATTCTATGCTGTAATGGCCGTGAGATCAAAAGATGTGGTTTTAATTGGTTTTATTGGCCTAAATTGTTGCTCTCAAGGGTCTGAATGTCCGTGTTTTGGCTACGCAGTTTATTATAGACTTATAGGAGCTGAGGTTGAACTTCCAAATTCAATTAAAAAAAACGGCAGAGAGCTTAAGTAAAAGAGCAGGTGAAGCAAGTCACAGATCTTTTTCTCAGGAGTTGGTTATCACCAACCCAAAGCTACAAGGAAAGTCAATATGGGACTTGAATTCAATGTGTCAAAATATCCCAATAGAATGCTCAGGCTGTGTTCTGCTGGATGTGAAAGGAGGTCATTCAATAGTTCACTAATTGATAATTTTTTAATGGAAATTCTTGGACATTTTTTGTTAACAGCTGGTCCTTGATATCAGACAGATGTAGACAAAGGCAGGCTGAAATGACAGCAGTTGGATCTGATGAGCTGTAGCTATAGCATGCTAACGAATATCAACTCTTTATATCGTTTCCTGCTGGCTCGTTTGAAAACCAGAAACCTATTGTATAAACGTTTGTAAGTATGCATTTTATAGCTACATACATCACATTCTCCTAATTGAGTGCTACGTGATAACACTAAAAAAACATCTCGTGCTAAATTATACAGGCCCCAAGCCTAATATAAATACTTTTTTAAATATTATTATTTGTATTATTAAACTGATGACAGGGGCTACCATGCAGGATTCATCAGGAGTCTAACTACACAGTTATCTATACACTTAACCCCAAGTTGCTCCCGCAGGCACAGCCTACCCAAGGACACATCAACATGGACTAACGAAGCCGGGGATGGAGCCGCCTACCCTCTGATTAAAGGACTACCCTGCTCTACCACTGAGTCACGGTCGCCCATAGTCAGTGTGGACGAGTCTTTCTTCCCTCTTGATGTCAAATAGTCCTTAATGCTGGTTGAAACTATCACACACGCACACGCCTGGCTATTTGAAGTTCATAACATTATGAAACAAATTCACATTTCTGAGATGAGAGCAGCTACCCAAAACTACGGACATTTTAAAACCAGAGAGAGAAGTGAACAGGTCAGGGTTAGTAGACATCTTTATTAAATCTCCACAAACACTGTCAGGACCACAACATCGAGCAGGATATTCACTGAGACTGGTGATATAAATGAGAGCTGGGCTGTTCAACATGTGTCTAGAAAGAGTCGCAAAAGTAAAGATTACGTCCACCAGCTCCCCCTACCCCAGCTCAGCAGGGGCCTCGCCTCACAACCATCAATCCCAGAGCCACCGAGGAGGAAGCAGCGTTTGAAGCTGGGGAAACACGTCTCAGTCTCTTGGACCATCAGCACCGATTCCCCTCAATGCTGCGTTCTTTCCCCTCTACTCTTCTCTTTGTACACCAACAGCTGCACCCCTACTCACCGGTCCGTTACACTCCTGAAGTTTGTGGATGACACCGCCCTAATTGGACTCATCTCTGGTGGGGATGAGTCCGTCTATAGGTAGGAGATCGACCATCTATTGACCTGCTGCAGACAAAACAACTTAAAAACGCCGTAAAGACAGTGGAGATGGTTGAGTTCGCTGTGGAGTCCTTCAGCTTCTGGGGCTCCATCATAACCCAGGACCTCAAGTAGGAGCTGAAGAAGTCCAGCCTGCCAAAGACAACTCCTACACTGCCATCACTGAGTCCTTCCTCACCGAGTCCACCACACTGCAGCCACTGCCAAGGACAAGGGCAGACTGCAGTGTATCATTCACTCTGCTGAGAGGGTGATTGGCTGCAATCTGCCATCCCTCCGTGACTTGTTGGACCGTGAGGCGGGCAAGAACAATTGTGGCTCACCCAATTATTTTGAATTATGTCTCTATACTATTCCACTGTGTTTATTGTAATGCACCAATCACCAAGTCAAATTTATTTATTAAGTGCAAACATACTTGGCAATAAACCGTTTCTTATTCTCTGCAGTTGCACCTAATTTATTGGATAAAGAAGCCAACAAGCAATTTACTCTTCTCTCGGTGGGAAATAATTGTTTCAGCTCAACTAAAAAGTCCGTTATTTTCATAACTAGAGTGCAACTTGAATATTCACTTAATTTCACATTCATATAGAGAATCTGTTGATGGCAAAAACCCGTAACTCAACTTCTGACTGTCAATCTTATGTCTAACCTATTTCTAACATTGCTAAATTCTTTATTCTTTGTGTTTGGTGTCTTATATGCTTGACCATGTAGTTTTTCTTCTTTCTGTTCCAGGCTGGAATGATGCTTGATAATGGAGTAAAGACCACCCAGGCAAACGACAAGGACAAGAGACCCTTCCTGTCTCTGATTGGAGCCAGGTCAGACTGTAACAAGCAAACACCCTGTATGACAAGCTGATGTCACATCACACCCAGTATAATTCAGCATGACGGATTCACAGTCTGTAATGGTCATGTTTGCTGTTGACGGTTTGAAACAAACAAATGTTGGTATTTTAAAATGGAATCAAAGCAGGGAGTGTTTTTGAAATCAACTCAAGAATAAGTGCAAAAGTAGAGCAGCAGGCTGTGTCATAGTTAGTCCCATGTGCTCGGTGTCATCTTGACCTCATCACTTCAATGTGAATACACCCTACACACCAGTCCCTTCTCACTTCAATGACGCTCTGCAAAGGGAGGACATGTTGTCTCTCTCAGAAAGCTTTCTCTCGGACTGTCAAAATCAACTTGTAATGGAAAGTGATCCTGACTGGACAGGAACAGCAGAACTCTAAGTTATTCTGTCCTGCTGAAAGAATATGAACACAAATCAATTAAAGCTGTAATCTTTAGGATTTTCATCATATCAAACCATATTTATGATCCTATTCAAGGATAGTATTTTTTCAGTGTATTTACATTGTGTAGCTGCCTCTATATTCAAATTGCATACTCATGCCAGGGCTGTGATAAGACCATGTCCAACTCAAGTCTAAAAACCTTTGCGCACCAAGTACATATTTTTGTATGCATTTTTATAATCCGTTATCTGATAAAAATTGTTACGCACAGAGAAACCTTGCACACTGAGTCTGAGGTGTTTGATTATTTGATTTGAAGCAAAACTGAATGAATTATGTGAGAGCGATGGATGGTGCTAGTTAGCAGAGCACAACCTCTACACAACATGAGGTTGTATTTATTTTTAAACCTTTAACAATTTTCTATGAAAACTACGGATTTGGTATGCAAAGGCCTTCAGTCCATGTGGAGTCGAACCAGAGTAAAACACAAAAGATAAGCAGAGCCCTATTGCAATAGATCTCTTACTGATGTTCAAAGGACTATCATATTCTGATCCAATCATATACTGATTATACAGAGCATATTTACATTAGTTTAGATATTTTAAAGTGGGTTTATGTTCCTTCAGAAATACAAATTGTTGCGTTTTATATGTTTTTCTAAATGTTTAACTCTAAGAAGAAAAATAGAGTTCTATATAAAATACATGTGTATTGCACAACGTTTGTAATTAGTTACTTTGCAGCCCTGCATGCACAGCACACTCATAGGTATACAATGCATCTCAATACAATGACATTACAAGTGAACACTGTCATCTCTTCTCTGTGTGTCTGTTGAATTGTTTAGGTATGGCCCCCACCAGGACGCTGATCCCTTCAAACCCAGAGTCCCTGCTCTAATCCACCATTTTGTAGCCTATAAGAACCAGGACCACGGAGCCTGGCTGAGAGGAGGGGATGTCTGGCTGGATGACTGCCAGTATGTAGGCCTACGACATTGATACAGTGATGGAGATCTTTATCAATTAGTTGACTGAATGTATGTTTGTCTGAGGGAAGTTTGTGAACTCACACTTATTTAATACCATCATTATGTTCATGCAGCACAGGTTGTTTTCTATTGTGCATGTGTGCAAAAGGGAGAAATTCATCCTATATCTAATAAGAATGCTAACCTTCAGAGTGTGTGCGTGTGCGTGTGCGTGCGTGTGTGTTCATTCACTGGAGACCTCAGACTGTTGCTGTCCTCACAGTGATAATATTCTCTCTTTCTTGTTTAGATTTGCTGATAATGGCATTGGCCTCACTCTGGCGAGGTATGAGCCCCCCCCCCCCCACCACACACACACACACACACACACGGTTCATATCTCTATGGACAGAAATAATGGACTTGTGTTTGTATTTACCAGTGTATGCATGATCCTCTCTCTCTCACCCTGTCTGTAAGAGTAATTGGAAAACACCTTATAAGGAGTCTGTTGGGGATGCACTGGGAAAGAGAGCACTTTGATGCAGTGTAGGAAGTCATTTATGGGTGTGATGGTCACAAAGGTGGGAATTGGTGAGACGTTTTCATCAGACTTTACAAAACAGGGTGTCCAGATGAAAACAGCATGTATGAGTCTTTAAACGCCAGCTTGGTGTCTCAGTGTGTAAGGGGGAACAGAGCTTTGGCAAAATAATGACGTAAGGCAGCTGTGTGCCAGTACAGTTAAAAAAGATGAGCTTTTGTCATCTCTAACAATCTCTGCCGTCATTCTTTTTAGATGTCAATATAGCTAAATACATAGCTTCATTGTTTCAGGTCAGCTGGGCTGTCTGTCCCAATTCTTACCACATGTTGACTGGAATACACAGAAAGATGAGATTCAGCCATTTTATGTTGTGCAGGTCTTTTAATAACACCTAATGTGAATGCACATTTAGATACATACACAAAAATGGCTTTAAGTACTACCTGTCCAATGTGTTGATAGGCAGAGAGACCTGATGGGCATGATGCTCATGTGCTTAAAGGCTCGCCAGTTATTTAGTGTAACACTTACATGAAGTTTAGAGAGACACAAGACACAGATTTAAAAAAGAATAACTGTGCAGCATAGGTTGAGATATCCTGACCTTCAAGGGAAATTCACCACCTTCATATAGATGTCCAATCATTGCTGATGGTAAATGTAGTCCACATAAGAAATCAATTCTCCACTGCCGCTATATTGACGGAGAAAGCTAATCTCTCCTGCTGCGGCGACAACATCCAACACAACTGCCAATGCTGACATTCATTAATGTAGAATGATTCCATTTATGTTGGCATCTGAGGGAACATTTGAGCAAAGTCTGGACCAGTCAGTGTTGAGCCACAGAAGACATTATACGGCTGTCTTCTCATGCCGAGTAGTACGAGCCATGACGGGTACACTGATCTGGTTCCCCTTTAATACCACTCTGTACTTGTTACATATAAACATTGCTACACAGAGAGATATCAAAAGATCTCATGTGCATACGGCATCGAGCTGCAGCTAGCTAGCTTAATAGTTTTAGCTTCAGCTAACTGCAGTGATGGATGGTAGACAGACGCCCTGTACATTCTAAGTTCCGCCTCACACTGTGGATTACAGAGAACACTGCAGAATGCTGTAATGCCGTACGTTCATTCTTCAAAATGGTTTCAGCTTTCAGGTTTCTCATTTTCTAGTTCAGTGACTTTATCACTAACTGTTTAGAATTTAGAAATCATTTAGAAATACCACTGGAACAATATGCACTGTGTGATTTATCATTTATAGTCTACTTTCCCTTTTGATTATCACAAAAATGTATAATATTTTTAAAGTGTGCTTTTAATACAAACATCTTACTGTTGAACTTTGTGCTCCTACTATAAGAACTCTTTACAATGTACTGCAGTGTCAATGAGCTTTTCTCTGTGACTTCTAGCCTCAGGTCATCTTACAGTAATGTTAAAAGGATTGTAAATCCTTCTTAAGCTTAATAGATGTTTCCCAAAAACACCTTATCTTAAGATGCTCCTAAACCGAAGTTATACAAAGGTCCACTAGGGTCCATGTAACCATGAATGTCTTCATCAGAGGGTGTGCGTGTCGGCTCTGTGGACATCCGGGGACCGTGGTGACCTCGTAGCGCCCCTCGTGTCTGCAGCTGTCTGTGTACATGTCCGTGTATCCGAGGTGTTAGAAGTGTCATAGATTTTAAAGTACCTCCTACCCACTCATAGAACGAGCATCTGAAGAAAATTACAATAGTTTTATTGTTTTTCTCATTTATTGCATGATATAGTCTTTTATTTTACCATGACCATTAATGCTCCTTTGTTACGTGTTGGAAAAGGACACAAAACTAGGCTAACACACACACACATACACACTCAAAAATGATACAAATAAATAAAACAGTTATTGATACTTTGTGTTGCATATCCCCGGACTGA